CGGGCGCCGGGGCGCGCGCCGGCGCTGCCCGGCCGAGCGCCGGGAAGGCGGCGAGGCTCTGGTCGCGCGGGCGCGCCGTCGTGCACACCTCGCAGGCCGCCGCCGCGTCGTGGGCATTCTCGAACGTGCACGCGCTACACGACCACGGCATGGTCGCGGAGGCCACGTCAAGCGGTCGGGGCGCGCGAGGCTATTTCATACTCGGCCCCAAAAAGCGAGTCTCGCGAGATGTTGCACTCGAAGCAGTCGATGTTGCCCTTCACTGCTCTGCGGCAGCATCGTAATCTAAAACCACCTGCGGCAAGTATAGTCCCCAGTTCGGGCATGGGAGAGCGTCTTTTCCTTGCGGTGATGCGAGGCAGAAACTCCGCAATGGGCAGCCCATGAAAGTCGTCGCCGTCCTCGCGGCGCTGGTCGTCGTCGCCGGCGACGAAGCGCCGCTGGCGAAGGCCGACCTGCACGAAGCGCCGCTGGCCGTCGTCGCCGGCGACTCGGAAGCGCCGCTGGTCGAGTTGCACCGGGCGCTCTCGAGCGTGCACTGCGTCGACCGGACGCGGCCGCCCTCGCCGGCGCCGACGGCCGTGCCGAGCGCGCGGCCCGTGTTTCGGCCGACGCGGCGGCCGACGCCCGCGCCGGCGCCGCGCCCGACCCACCCGGCGTTCGCCCCGAGCCCCGCGCCGACGACCTACGGTCCGACGACGTCCGTGCCCACGAGCTCGACCTACAGCCCGTCCTACGCGCCGAGCGTGACGTACGCGCCGACGACGGAATCCTACGCGCCGACGAGCCCGACGCCGGAGCCGACCGCGGCGCCGACCGCGACGGCGGCGCCGACCGCCGTGTCGTACGCGCCGACGGGCTCGCCGAGCGTCTCGCCCTCCGCCGCGCCGACAACCTACGAGCCCACGTATAGTACAAAGCCGTCCGCCGCGCCCCAGAGCTACGCGCCGTCGAGCTACGGTCCCTCGGAGGCGCCGGCGACCGCGTCGCCGTCCTACGGGCCGACGACCTCGAAGCTGCCGAGCCCGACACCCAGCGCGGAGCCCAGCCGCCCGCCCGCGCCCGCGCCCAGCGCCGCGCCGTCGTGGCGGACCTACGCGCCGACGGCGTCGCCGTCGTCGCCGCCGTCGGAGGAGGCCTACGCGCCGTCGTCCGTGCCGACGAGCGTCCCGTCCTACGCGCCGAGCCCGACGCCCTCGCTGAAGCCCAGCCACGCGCCGTCCTACGAGCCCACCTACGCGCCCACGATGTCGTCGTTACCAACCGGCATCCCGTCGCTCGAGCCGACAAACGCGCCGACGACGCCCCCGACGCTCGTCCCCGCGCCGCGGCCGACCTACAAGCCGACGAAGGCGCCGACGCAGACCGTGGCGCCGTCCTACGTGCCGACGTCGCGCCCCAGCGCGCTGCCGTCCGCGGACCCGACGACCTACGCGCCGAGCTACGCGCCGACGCCCGCGCCGTCGAAATACGACTCCGCGCCGCCGACGAAGACGAAGGCGCCGACGCTCGCGTCCTACGCGCCCACCGAGGCGCCGTCGGTGGAGCCGACGCCCGCGCCGTCTACCGCCGCGCCGTCCTACGACCCGTCGCCGGCCCCGAGCGAGAGCCAGCGGCCCTCGAGCTACGCGCCGACGCCCGCGCCCTCGTCGTCGACGCCGACCTACCCGCCGACGCTGTCCCTGGCGCCGACGTCCGCCGCGCCGACGCCGCTGCCGTCGCGGACGTTCGCGCCGTCTTATGCTCCCACCCGCCCGCCGTCCGCCGCGCCGTCGCCCGCGCCGACCGCGAGCCCGTCCTACGGGCCGTCGTTCGCGCCGAGCGCGCGGCCGACGGCCTACCGCGGCACGTACCGCCCGTCGCCCGCGCCGACGAAACGCCCCAACTACGCGCCGACCGCCGCGCCGAGCTACGCGCCCACGTCCCTCCCGTCGCTCGCGCCGTCCGTCACGCGCCGGCCGACGCGCCGGAAGACCTACGCGCCGACGGACTCGCCGACGCCGTCGCCGACCACGAGCGGCCCGACGGCGACGCCCGCGCCGAGCTACGCCCCGTCCTACGCGCCCTCGGCCGCGCCGTCGTACCCGCCGACGACGAGCACGCTCGCGCCGACGAAATTCCCGCCGACGCCGCGGCCGTCCGCGACGCCGACGAGGCGCCCGTCGACGCTCGAGCCCTCGGCGCCGTTCCCGACCATCGCGCCGACGCACCAGCCGACCTGCGCGCCGTCCGCGACGCCGCTCGCCGCGCCGACGGCGCGGCCGACGGCCCGGTCCCGCCCGCCGACGACGGCCGCGCGGCCGTCGGCCGCGCCGACGATCTCCGCGCCGCCCTCGGCCAGGCCGAGCCCGAAGCCGAGCGGCCGGCCGACCACGGCGGTGCCCTACCCGAAGCCGACGCGGCGGCCGATGACGGCCGCGCCGTCGGCCGCGTGCAACGACGGCCCGCTCGACGCCCTCCTCTTCGACTACGACGTCTGGAAGACCTACATCGACCTGAGCGCGAGCTTCGCGTCCGTGACGACGCCCGTCTGCGACGCCTACGACGACCACGCGTCGTGCTGCGGCGCGTTCCGCGACAACTGGGC